CTTCAGGCCTACACCAGGTTTTGGACAAAGAATAGCCACTGACCTCTTATAGCTGTATCCCAGGATAATGCCAGCTCCGATGACAATGATTATCACTGTCATGATCAGCCCCAGCACATACCCTGTGAAGAAAGGAAAGAGGCAAAATTAGAGGCAGTAGATCCAGCTATAGCATTGTTTTCAGAGCCTCAAGCCAAATCCATCCTGCCAGAATTACAGGGATGGATCCATCACATGATCCTGGGTTTGTACCTAGTGTCCCTAAGTCCTTCTTTTTTTTGGAGTTCATCTGCACTCTCTGACTGATCCCAATAACGGGCTGCACAGCAGCTGCCTCGCTCCTGGAGGGCAAGGTATCAGCCGGTTCAAACACCTGGTCGACCTCCTGAGAAGTACCAACTTCTGCTGTAGGGACTGGGGCGGTGGCAGCTGTAGCATCTGTTGAGAGGAAGAAAAAAAACCAAACCCAACACATAACAAAATACAAAGCATTGATGAGTACTTCAAAACAACACGTGCCTTGTGAGTGGGACAGATCTAGACTGGTATCACTGAACTGCCTTCAAAGTACACTGACAAACACTTGTTCCCTCTTAAGTTGTTGCCAGAAATCCTACCAAGGCAGACAAGAAATCTACTCCTCCCCCTGCTTTCCTTTGACATGAACCTATTTTAAGAGTGCGAGGCACCAGTAGAACAAAACCCAAGTTCAGGGCATGAGTCCAGGGGATGCACAATGACTTCATTTAGCGTATAGATCAATATACAGGCTGCAGCTTCAATCATGCTGAACAGACATGAATAAGATGATGAGAATCTCCATCCCAAATCTCCCAGGAGCCTATTTATCTCTCTTCTGCCTCAATCTTCCTGACACAAGAAGGTTTGACAGAAGGAGACTCCAGATGGTGTGAAAACAACCTGGGGACATTCTTCTTACCAGTCCCTTTTTGCAGCCATGTAGCAAACTCCATTAGCATGATGCACAGGCTAAGTCAGAGCAACGATTCAGGCAGCACGGCCGCTGACTAGCGTTACATACAGCAAGTTCCTCCTCAGCCAGAGCCCAAACAAAGGTGCATAAGGACAGACACTCATAGCACAGACTCCTTCCCAGCCCAGTGGATTTTTTTATCAACAGCCCTGAAAGATTTTCAAGGTAGCTCCTTCTTTCATGACACAGTTAAAATAGAAGCTGTAGCACAGTAAAAGCTACGACAGCGGAAAGTAGATATCCATTACCTGTCCTAAACAAAAGCCCCCTACTTTTTCAAAATCCTATGCACAGCATGCATCCACACCTGAAAACTCTCTCCACCTGGATCTCACCCCACAGCTGGCAAAAACTCCATGTGGATTTTCTATCTGCAGCCATTTTGAGTCCTCAGTAGAATGTGAAATGGAAGCACAGAAGGGGAGTTAGAGACAGGAAATCAAGGTCTCCTGCACTGCACAGTGACTTTACGTAGGGTCATGCAGAAATCTGTACTAAGGGGAGCTGCAGGACATGACCACAATAAAAAGGTGCACACTCTGAGACACAAACATGCAAATGGTGTATTGGCTGAAAGGTCAGGTAACTCTCCTGATCCCAAAGCTGCAGGACTATTTTGAGTAAGGGTCTTGGCAGCAGAACATTTGTTTTGCTTCATCTTTAGGGAAAAGCAGGCAAAAAATGAGCCAAGTGAAGAAAAGGGGAGGGTAAATGTGTGGGGGCAAGTGTTGACATACAAGGATAGCAATCCCGAGGGACAGTGGAGTGCATAAATCTTGATGGGCTCAGAAATAAGTAAACAATTAAAAAACCCCAAGTGGTTACTTTGGACTCAGTCAATACTGACATCTTCTCTCCCTAAAACAGGCTTCAGCTACGGTTTCTTGCTTGGCAAACTGTTTACCACCCTGACAATCCAGGAGGAATCCAGTATTTGGGGTTTTCCATTTCCTACTAGTCTCCCTTCAATTCTCATTTTCTTCAAGTTCTTTCCCCCCCACCTGTACCCAAATTCACCCTAGCAGCCATTTAGCAGCAGGACACTTGCTTAGACAGCAGCAATATGCCCCACAGTAATAATCTACCAACATCTCTGCAGTTCTTAGATGCCCAGATCTCGGAGGAATCCAGTATTTGGGGTTTTCCATTTCCTACTAGTCTCCCTTCAATTCTCATTTTCTTCAAGTTCTTTCCCCCCCACCTGTACCCAAATTCACCCTAGCAGCCATTTAGCAGCAGGACACTTGCTTAGACAGCAGCAATATGCCCCACAGTAATAATCTACCAACATCTCTGCAGTTCTTAGATGCCCAGATCTCAGCCTTTTTCATCACATTTAAAGAGCTCTTAGTGAAAAGG